CTAAAATGTACATATTTGGCTGTTTATCGACACCAGATCAGTGAAATTATTATGATCAAACCCTTATTATACATAGCAGTTGTACGGGTAAAGTATCATAAAGTCTGTATGATGGTAAACTATACTAACGTCACGTGATGAATTCCTTCACGAATCATTAGGTGTTAGTTCTCAAATATGTCTAAAGCCTCATACAGTCACTGTATATGCTCGTATAGATTCATGAAACTCTGTGGAAGTTACTTCAAAGAATGTAACGGTTGTTGTGTGCTACTCAAGCAGAAAAATGTTCTGAAATTCGGGTAATCATACTGAATCAGCAGAAATTCATTACGATGTGTTGACATAACACTTTGTGTTATTCTGTGTTAGACGATAACTACACACTTGTACTCATTAAGTATATGTATAACCGAAGTCATCTTTCTACATATTTGGGTTTTTTTTTAAAAAAAGCGATCGACAGACGAATTTAGTGACCCATTAAATGTGTGCTCATCTTATCGTGTAGTTACGAGGACCAGATATCTAGCTAATAGGTTAAAGAAGCAAATTACTTTTCTCAAGTATGTTACCAGATCGACAAATCACTAAACGTAACACTATTTTACGTATGGAAAAATTCTGGCTGTTTGGTCACTAAAACGCTATTAGACAGATAACAATTTTGAAAACGATGAAAAACAATGCAACCCAGCTGTCTTGTGTCTTTTATAAAGTGATTTGAGTTACGGATTATAGCCGTTGATTGCATAGCACTTAGTAAAAGGGCAGAACAAGCACTACTAGAATGGATCCCCATTAACAGTCGCCTGTGTGCTGTCCGGCTAAATGGTTCCGTAAGAACTCGGAAGGATAGGGACTCACGTTGTTGCTTTTTTGTCGTTTCTGCCTACGCTCCAACTGACTGCATCCGTGATGAAGTGAAAGGTGACTTTTACAGAAAGCTCTATGAACTTCTTCAAAAAGCCAAACGCTCAGATACAGTACTCGTAGCGGGTGACTTTAATGCCCAACTAGGTAACTTAAGTCAAACAGAAAGACATTTAGGTGGGTATTTTGGTATTTCGGCACAGCGAACAGATAATTGCGATCGTCTGTTGCGACTATGCTCAGACAATCGTTTATTTTTAGCAAACACTAATTTTAAGCATAAGTAGAGACACCATTCAACATGGCGACCCCCTGCACCAAACCAACGATGGACTCAAATAGACCATATCGCCATCAGTCATCGTTACAAGATTGTCGCTCGTATTGGAATACATGTTTAGACTCTGATCACGTTTTAATACGAGCACGCATGTGTCTGCGCCTCACTGGACGCAGGAAAACTACACTAAGAATATCCATAAAGATTGAACTGGAGCACGAAAAAGCCAAATGTAAATTCCAGGAACAACTGAGTTCACACCTAGGCAGTTTTGTAAACGAGACTGACCCAGATGCTGCTTGGAAAGACATACACTCACCATTAAGACTCATGTTTCTAATTTTTGTGCTGGATTAACTATTCTACTAAGACAACCTTTAACATGCTAACTCGGACTTTTACATGAACACTGTGTGGCGGCATCGGATGATAAAAAAACAGACTGTAAAGGATATGGTTGTTATTTTACTCAACACTCTTCTCTCTATATGCACTCTCTGTTATTTCTCATTCCAACCTTGACTTCACTCCTTCATTGGAACCTACTTCACCTTGATAAATATCACAACTCATTGTTCTCTATTACTGCCTTCTCTCTTCTGGAACCCCTAATCGCAGTTTACTCTTGCAACATGAGCTAGTATCAATTTAATATAATAATTTATCATACCTCTATCTGTTCCACTAATAAATGTTAAGCATCGATTATCGCTCATATCCAAATGCCTTGCTGCTCCTCGGTTTCTCTTTTATTTTTTCTCTTCAGAATCTTGCTCTGAGGGTGAAGCTATGTAACTTCTGACATCTGTAACAAGCTTGACGAACGTTCTTTCCCAAGGTCATAGTTCGAACTAGGCGCTCCACAAACCTACTTTATAACAAGAATGAACTTAAAAAGCTGCATTACATAAATACTTAGCACTACCGAAACCCTATTACACTTTTTGTCGAGATTGGATCTGGTATATAACGTGGACGCTATGTCCCTTTTTGGAAACTATTTTTATGAAAACACATTATATCTGAAGAATGAACTGCTATCAACTTTTATAGATTATAATTACTAAACAAGCTTGCTTGGGATGCATACTGTGAACCGGTATATGTTGTAAATTGTAGATCATGCCTGTAAAAATGGCGTTTACCTGCTGTTGCAGAAATATATTATTATTATTATCAAGTCAGTCATTTTGATTGAGATGTCAAAGTCATTCATTCTGACATAATTACACCTACCAAAACTTAAATTCCCAGTATTATAGATCGTAAACGTCCTATTCCAGGGTGTTGCAACTTGCTGATTAGAAATGGTAAATCTTTAATTACAAACTGTGAATTTCTCACTGCTGAGCATGGATGGTCTATATTAGGTCTAAAAAATTTAGGAACGCTTTAGGATCAGCTTTTTTTGTTGACCACTGAAATTAGTTCTAATGATGTGCTTGATAACTTACGAACTGCGTAATCGAAGTGAGGAAAGTTACACATGACTTTACAGTCCCCTCATTCTCACGTGCAAGCCATAAATTTCAAAACCCTGAAAACAAAAGCCAATTCTACTACCACTGCAAAGTACAAAGGTTCAGAGAGGAGAAAATTCCTCAGTGCACAATTACTAGATAAAACGCAAAAGAAACAATAATGAAATCGTTTAAGCAAAAGAGTCATCGTAAAAGGACTACCTTTCCACAGCCCATGAGATGTCTGCCAAAACAGGTCGATAAATCTGTGGTTCATATGCAAGACGGCCACAACAACCTAATAAATCACAAGGACCCAAGTGAGCCCGTCCTACTTTCAGTTGTTAAATCTAATACGAATGAGCATATTCTAGATCAGACAGAGGTTTTCCATAAGCTGTTTGACAGACATACAATGAACTTAAGGTGAAGACCTTTGGTAGACTACAGAAACTTAGACTTTAATTTAGGCTGTGGAGGTTGTGTGAATTAATGATTCCCCGGTACTCAATGAGTGCCTGATTTCGAATTCTATGTACAATACTTTAGATTGTGCTCACCTACTTTTGTCTGTCCTTAATTGCTCTACTTCAAGGATTCCTAGTTCATATAGAGATTCGAATGATTCTTATCGCAATAGATCTCGCGGACATCTTCGGAATTAGATGTAGACATATTATTCCGTACCAAACACTCAACAAATGACCTAGATTATTTATTAGTGGGTAGAATGTTTCATCAATTACTTGAGTTTATACTCCTAGTCCAGTTCCAACTAGTATGGTCTGCCTCAAACAAGTGAACTTTGGAAGAATTTTCAAACATGACCCAATAAATTATTGTAATCCATGTTGAAAATTGCCACTCAACTGTTAAATCTGGATTTATTAACATCTGTAGTGTGGTTCCAGACAAGTCATTTTCCATAGCGTATTAACAGGGCTTAACTGCATGATGTAAATCTCTAGCTTTTAAATCGAATCAGTTGGTCTTATTAACCATATGTAGTCTCAGTAAATCTAACTCACAAGTCCTCGAAACAAATTTTAAGACGAACATCTCCAGACATATGGACCGATAATAAATTAATATGCACAGATATTTCTATAGAATCGGGCAAAGTAACAAATAAGTTATTTTCTATAGAAGCAAAGGAAGTAATCATGCTACATTTTAATTATCGTACTACAGGCTCCCTAACACTCACTGATGAGTCTAGAAGACCCTGGAAAGCTTCTAGACAGCACAACGCAAGGCCTTATGCACGATATGCGGGAAGAGTTAAACGAGCGTTGCAATATTGCAACCTATAACCTTTCACTTCCTGATTTTCATGCATAAAAACGAATTCCGTGTATTATGACTGTGACATCCTACAGCAGCTTGTCCATGGTGGAAATCCTGTTCTATTTAAACGATCTCAAGTCACTGATAGGTTGAAAGTTAATTGCTACTACCCAATACGAATTCTGAATCAACCTTTCTGAGACCACATAAGCTATTCAAGCTGGCCTCCTTCAACGTTGTCACACTAGTGCAGATCGAGTAACAAATAGGGTTTCCTATGTATTTAGAAAGTCTCAACATCGATGTCTGTTGTCTATCCGAGAACAGTATTCTGGTGAACAACTGTAAATTCGCCCTCCACCTCTCACTTTAAAAAGCGTGCTTCAAGTGCGTTTATTCGAGGACACATCTTCGTCCAGTTTTGATGGCGTTGGTGCCACACTAAGCGCTAGAGCTCAAGGAGCACTAATCTATTGGAGCCCCATTAAAAGTTGATTATGTGCTGCTAAAATAGAAAACTCAGTCAGTGTCGAAAGAAATCGTGTGAGAAATGATGTCTTCTCGTCATCGCCACCTAGGCTCAAACAGATTACTGCCCAGATAAGATGAAGGATGAGTTCTACCACTAGTTATGTGTTCTACAGGAAGTGTGTTGGACAGATATTTTAGTACTAGCAGGAGACTTGAATCCATGAGTTTAGCATCAAGGGACAGAGACAGGACTGGCACTTGTTGGTCCTTCAACAATCCCTGGTCGTGGTTTTACATTTGGTGCAACATACTAGCCTGAGACGTTATCAGACATGTCTCAGAATGGAAGTCAGTGGCGATCCTGCCGTAACTTCCTTCAAAAAAGTGAGTGACTTCCTCAACCGAACTTCTTTCTAGCTGTATTTCTCTTGACTGGAATGTTCCCCAGACAATGTTTTGCTCTCATTAAATTGTTTTTTAATTATCATGATTTCCTTTCTCGATATGTATACAACTTCATCTCTTATCGTGTATTGCAAATATATCTCACTAACTCTTTGTACCAGTATTTCTTCATGAAATAAAGAGATTATCAACTTTATGTTCAAACAACATTTAACCTAGAGATTTTTGTATTCGACATCTCAATTTTAAGCGCGCGTTTGGGTTGCAAACATGAGTTAGTCTCCACAGTTTAAAAAACGACCATTCACAACTTTCACTATGATAAATGAACAGTGATTCAAAAGGAGTATAGTTTCTTATTTTATTATTTATCCGTCAAACAAAATTGACTGAAAATTGAATAAATATGAAAATTAAGAGGTAAATAGAGATTCGAAGACTTGCAGTCCTATTGGCGTTCCTGATTTAACTTTTTCGCTCATGAACGATACTTTTCTCCGACGTACTTGCTACCTAACGAAAGAAGAAAGTAGTTGTTACAATTCATCCCAATTTCGTTAAACAGAGAACATTGTATCTTATTAGATAGCCGTAGAATCTAAAATGTACATATTTGGCTGTTTATCGACACCAGATCAGTGAAATTATTATGATCAAACCCTTATTATACATAGCAGTTGTACGGGTAAAGTATCATAAAGTCTGTATGATGGTAAACTATACTAACGTCACGTGATGAATTCCTTCACGAATCATTAGGTGTTAGTTCTCAAATATGTCTAAAGCCTCATACAGTCACTGTATATGCTCGTATAGATTCATGAAACTCTGTGGAAGTTACTTCAAAGAATGTAACGGTTGTTGTGTGCTACTCAAGCAGAAAAATGTTCTGAAATTCGGGTAATCATACTGAATCAGCAGAAATTCATTACGATGTGTTGACATAACACTTTGTGTTATTCTGTGTTAGACGATAACTACACACTTGTACTCATTAAGTATATGTATAACCGAAGTCATCTTTCTACATATTTGGGTTTTTTTTTAAAAAAAGCGATCGACAGACGAATTTAGTGACCCATTAAATGTGTGCTCATCTTATCGTGTAGTTACGAGGACCAGATATCTAGCTAATAGGTTAAAGAAGCAAATTACTTTTCTCAAGTATGTTACCAGATCGACAAATCACTAAACGTAACACTATTTTACGTATGGAAAAATTCTGGCTGTTTGGTCACTAAAACGCTATTAGACAGATAACAATTTTGAAAACGATGAAAAACAATGCAACCCAGCTGTCTTGTGTCTTTTATAAAGTGATTTGAGTTACGGATTATAGCCGTTGATTGCATAGCACTTAGTAAAAGGGCAGAACAAGCACTACTAGAATGGATCCCCATTAACAGTCGCCTGTGTGCTGTCCGGCTAAATGGTTCCGTAAGAACTCGGAAGGATAGGGACTCACGTTGTTGCTTTTTTGTCGTTTCTGCCTACGCTCCAACTGACTGCATCCGTGATGAAGTGAAAGGTGACTTTTACAGAAAGCTCTATGAACTTCTTCAAAAAGCCAAACGCTCAGATACAGTACTCGTAGCGGGTGACTTTAATGCCCAACTAGGTAACTTAAGTCAAACAGAAAGACATTTAGGTGGGTATTTTGGTATTTCGGCACAGCGAACAGATAATTGCGATCGTCTGTTGCGACTATGCTCAGACAATCGTTTATTTTTAGCAAACACTAATTTTAAGCATAAGTAGAGACACCATTCAACATGGCGACCCCCTGCACCAAACCAACGATGGACTCAAATAGACCATATCGCCATCAGTCATCGTTACAAGATTGTCGCTCGTATTGGAATACATGTTTAGACTCTGATCACGTTTTAATACGAGCACGCATGTGTCTGCGCCTCACTGGACGCAGGAAAACTACACTAAGAATATCCATAAAGATTGAACTGGAGCACGAAAAAGCCAAATGTAAATTCCAGGAACAACTGAGTTCACACCTAGGCAGTTTTGTAAACGAGACTGACCCAGATGCTGCTTGGAAAGACATACACTCACCATTAAGACTCATGTTTCTAATTTTTGTGCTGGATTAACTATTCTACTAAGACAACCTTTAACATGCTAACTCGGACTTTTACATGAACACTGTGTGGCGGCATCGGATGATAAAAAAACAGACTGTAAAGGATATGGTTGTTATTTTACTCAACACTCTTCTCTCTATATGCACTCTCTGTTATTTCTCATTCCAACCTTGACTTCACTCCTTCATTGGAACCTACTTCACCTTGATAAATATCACAACTCATTGTTCTCTATTACTGCCTTCTCTCTTCTGGAACCCCTAATCGCAGTTTACTCTTGCAACATGAGCTAGTATCAATTTAATATAATAATTTATCATACCTCTATCTGTTCCACTAATAAATGTTAAGCATCGATTATCGCTCATATCCAAATGCCTTGCTGCTCCTCGGTTTCTCTTTTATTTTTTCTCTTCAGAATCTTGCTCTGAGGGTGAAGCTATGTAACTTCTGACATCTGTAACAAGCTTGACGAACGTTCTTTCCCAAGGTCATAGTTCGAACTAGGCGCTCCACAAACCTACTTTATAACAAGAATGAACTTAAAAAGCTGCATTACATAAATACTTAGCACTACCGAAACCCTATTACACTTTTTGTCGAGATTGGATCTGGTATATAACGTGGACGCTATGTCCCTTTTTGGAAACTATTTTTATGAAAACACATTATATCTGAAGAATGAACTGCTATCAACTTTTATAGATTATAATTACTAAACAAGCTTGCTTGGGATGCATACTGTGAACCGGTATATGTTGTAAATTGTAGATCATGCCTGTAAAAATGGCGTTTACCTGCTGTTGCAGAAATATATTATTATTATTATCAAGTCAGTCATTTTGATTGAGATGTCAAAGTCATTCATTCTGACATAATTACACCTACCAAAACTTAAATTCCCAGTATTATAGATCGTAAACGTCCTATTCCAGGGTGTTGCAACTTGCTGATTAGAAATGGTAAATCTTTAATTACAAACTGTGAATTTCTCACTGCTGAGCATGGATGGTCTATATTAGGTCTAAAAAATTTAGGAACGCTTTAGGATCAGCTTTTTTTGTTGACCACTGAAATTAGTTCTAATGATGTGCTTGATAACTTACGAACTGCGTAATCGAAGTGAGGAAAGTTACACATGACTTTACAGTCCCCTCATTCTCACGTGCAAGCCATAAATTTCAAAACCCTGAAAACAAAAGCCAATTCTACTACCACTGCAAAGTACAAAGGTTCAGAGAGGAGAAAATTCCTCAGTGCACAATTACTAGATAAAACGCAAAAGAAACAATAATGAAATCGTTTAAGCAAAAGAGTCATCGTAAAAGGACTACCTTTCCACAGCCCATGAGATGTCTGCCAAAACAGGTCGATAAATCTGTGGTTCATATGCAAGACGGCCACAACAACCTAATAAATCACAAGGACCCAAGTGAGCCCGTCCTACTTTCAGTTGTTAAATCTAATACGAATGAGCATATTCTAGATCAGACAGAGGTTTTCCATAAGCTGTTTGACAGACATACAATGAACTTAAGGTGAAGACCTTTGGTAGACTACAGAAACTTAGACTTTAATTTAGGCTGTGGAGGTTGTGTGAATTAATGATTCCCCGGTACTCAATGAGTGCCTGATTTCGAATTCTATGTACAATACTTTAGATTGTGCTCACCTACTTTTGTCTGTCCTTAATTGCTCTACTTCAAGGATTCCTAGTTCATATAGAGATTCGAATGATTCTTATCGCAATAGATCTCGCGGACATCTTCGGAATTAGATGTAGACATATTATTCCGTACCAAACACTCAACAAATGACCTAGATTATTTATTAGTGGGTAGAATGTTTCATCAATTACTTGAGTTTATACTCCTAGTCCAGTTCCAACTAGTATGGTCTGCCTCAAACAAGTGAACTTTGGAAGAATTTTCAAACATGACCCAATAAATTATTGTAATCCATGTTGAAAATTGCCACTCAACTGTTAAATCTGGATTTATTAACATCTGTAGTGTGGTTCCAGACAAGTCATTTTCCATAGCGTATTAACAGGGCTTAACTGCATGATGTAAATCTCTAGCTTTTAAATCGAATCAGTTGGTCTTATTAACCATATGTAGTCTCAGTAAATCTAACTCACAAGTCCTCGAAACAAATTTTAAGACGAACATCTCCAGACATATGGACCGATAATAAATTAATATGCACAGATATTTCTATAGAATCGGGCAAAGTAACAAATAAGTTATTTTCTATAGAAGCAAAGGAAGTAATCATGCTACATTTTAATTATCGTACTACAGGCTCCCTAACACTCACTGATGAGTCTAGAAGACCCTGGAAAGCTTCTAGACAGCACAACGCAAGGCCTTATGCACGATATGCGGGAAGAGTTAAACGAGCGTTGCAATATTGCAACCTATAACCTTTCACTTCCTGATTTTCATGCATAAAAACGAATTCCGTGTATTATGACTGTGACATCCTACAGCAGCTTGTCCATGGTGGAAATCCTGTTCTATTTAAACGATCTCAAGTCACTGATAGGTTGAAAGTTAATTGCTACTACCCAATACGAATTCTGAATCAACCTTTCTGAGACCACATAAGCTATTCAAGCTGGCCTCCTTCAACGTTGTCACACTAGTGCAGATCGAGTAACAAATAGGGTTTCCTATGTATTTAGAAAGTCTCAACATCGATGTCTGTTGTCTATCCGAGAACAGTATTCTGGTGAACAACTGTAAATTCGCCCTCCACCTCTCACTTTAAAAAGCGTGCTTCAAGTGCGTTTATTCGAGGACACATCTTCGTCCAGTTTTGATGGCGTTGGTGCCACACTAAGCGCTAGAGCTCAAGGAGCACTAATCTATTGGAGCCCCATTAAAAGTTGATTATGTGCTGCTAAAATAGAAAACTCAGTCAGTGTCGAAAGAAATCGTGTGAGAAATGATGTCTTCTCGTCATCGCCACCTAGGCTCAAACAGATTACTGCCCAGATAAGATGAAGGATGAGTTCTACCACTAGTTATGTGTTCTACAGGAAGTGTGTTGGACAGATATTTTAGTACTAGCAGGAGACTTGAATCCATGAGTTTAGCATCAAGGGACAGAGACAGGACTGGCACTTGTTGGTCCTTCAACAATCCCTGGTCGTGGTTTTACATTTGGTGCAACATACTAGCCTGAGACGTTATCAGACATGTCTCAGAATGGAAGTCAGTGGCGATCCTGCCGTAACTTCCTTCAAAAAAGTGAGTGACTTCCTCAACCGAACTTCTTTCTAGCTGTATTTCTCTTGACTGGAATGTTCCCCAGACAATGTTTTGCTCTCATTAAATTGTTTTTTAATTATCATGATTTCCTTTCTCGATATGTATACAACTTCATCTCTTATCGTGTATTGCAAATATA